AACAGACACGACCAAAAAACTTCAGTCAAGCACTGCCATCCGGCCTATTCAAAACATTACTCTTCAAATTCACTGCAGCTGAATGAGAAAAGGACACCTTGAAAGAAATGTCAGACGGTCATGAAATCTATCTAACACTAGAAGAACAGTGTTATAAATTTGAAGAAAAAGAGGATCAGCGATTCGTCAGATTGTACCTGAGCTTGGTTGCCAGCATGAGGAAGCAGATACACGAGTTGTTTTGCATGTGAACCATAACAAGGAAACCATGACAGATGCCCAGATTAGTGTTAGAGCAAATGACACAGATATGTTAGTGATCCTTCTTTACCATGTGCAAAGGGTACTGGTACAACCAATGTTTGGATGGACCGTGGATTTAACAGCAACAAACTCTCGGAGATATATAGATGTTACTACCTTTACTGCTAATTCAGGAGAGACCATGTGCTCTGCCTTACCAGCAACACCTGCTTTTACTGGATGCGACTATACCTCATCATTTATGCGAAAAAGAAAGGTACGCCAGTATGATACCATGGAAAAGTCTAAGGTTTTTGAGAAAGCCAGATGTGATCTTGTCATTAGAATCATTTGTGTACACTCTCTTTGGGAAAGGAAAGTTTAATAGTGTGAATGATGCAAGATTTGCTTTGCTTAGGCAAAATAATGCACCTGCTACTCATGTAGCAATGGATGACACAACCATGTTATCTACAGATGTTAGTGAAGATGGATTAACATATGAATCATCAGGTGAGTCAAATTATGACTCTGACTCAATTCATTTTGTAACTACATAATGCTGTGGACGACATACTTCATAAGAATCATGACAGTGTACCTTTCTTTTGATGCAATTTAATACCCTCAAAGTGCAGGTACGGTATGATATAAACATGTTTTTTCATAGGCATGTAATTCAGAGATTGTAATCAAATATACAGTTTTTCTACAGTTTATCTTGTAATTAAGTGTGACTCTATATGAATTTAAAATGCTATATATCAGGTATATTATGCTTTTTTACTTGTGTACTATGATATCAGAATTTTTTTTTTAATATGTGATAAGTGCGCTTCATTGGTTTTATGATTTAATATGTATTATTTACGTTTTTATGGTTTTATAATGTATATTTATAAAATTCCAAAACAACTGCACAACATAATAAGTTCGAATTGCAGTTATGGTGATGTTATTCCCCTGTGTACAAAAGTCGCCACTGCGCTGTACAATTTTTAACCCTTTGCCACAGGTTATTGGTCAACCTGTATCAAGTAATAAATAGTATTTTGACTTTCTCATGTTAAATACATTTCAAAAATACAATCAAGCTTCAGACGGGTGATTAACCCCTCTCCCTAGCTCTTGGTTCTGTCTCCTCCCCATCATTGTCTTCGCCACCCAATACTCTATCAATGCACTTAATTCAAGCAAAGTAATTCTTGATGATACCACTACTGTCAAGCAAATACCTTCGCTTGCGCTTGGGTTCGGAGGAGTAAAGTGGGTCATAAGAGAGGTAGAAGGACGTGTATCCTTCACAATATCTGGCGGGGAACTTAAACTGACTATGAGGCATTATTATTGACTCTTGAGACAAATACACGTGAGTTGAGTTAACAATTACACAATCATCCTATACAACGTATTTCTTACTGCCTGGACATTCAAAACATGCCGCGAAAATTAAGAACGTTCAGGATCACCCTGGGTCGCTTAGGCAAACATCAGCAACGTCACCCAGGGTTTAAGGGTTATAATTACGTCAAGCCCCTCATAAAATCATCTGTAAGGGATTTACTCCACCACGTAAGGTTCCTCATAACACGATCTGTGAGGGAATTACTACACCACGTCAGGTCCCCCATAACGTGAACTGTGAGGGAATTACTACACTACGTGAGGTCCCTCATAACACCATATGTGAGTCAATTACTACACCACATCAGACCCCTCATAACACTATCTATGAGGGAATTACTAGAGCACATGAGGTTCCTCATAACACATCTGTGAGGGAATTACTACACCACGTGAGGTCCCGTATAACACCATCTATGAGGAAATTACTACACCACGTGATGCCCCTCATAACACCATCTGTGAGGGAGTTACTACACTACGCGTTTGTTGTTCAACACCTCAGCGCACATGACCTACCCCCCCCCCCCCCCATGTCTTTCTATGCAATATGTCATTTACTGTATATCCAATGTATAATTTCAGCCTTCGGGCTGCCGAACTTTTTCAATAAACCGTTGTTATTATTATTATTTGCATTTTTATCATTATTATTATTATTATTATTATTATTATTATTATTATTATTATTATTATTATTATTATTATTATTATTGTTATTATTATCATTATTATTATTATTATTATTATTATTATTATTATTATTATTATTATTATTATTATTATTATTATCATTATTATTATTATTATTATTACACACACACACACACACACACACACACAGGAAATAGTCACTATATCTGAATATTGATTCTTCTTAAGGAGTGAACAAATGATAATATTTCGTTTACCAAAATTACTTGCACACTCTGAGAAAATATCCATGTAGTTTTCGTTCACCAGAATTTCTTAGAAATTCAAATGCCAGGATTTCATTTTAGTGGAAGTCGGTGATGGACTTTCCTTAACAACAGGACTCGTATTACAGAGAGAGGCAATTTTCTCTCAAAGAAATGTAGTTCAAAAAGGGCTGGAAGAGGGAGGGGGGGCAAGAATATCCTCTTAACAAATAGTATAGGTTTCTCATAGTTGGGAGTCCAGTACCCAATGCAATTTCATCACGAGTAGACACCTATTGAAATCAATATGCTATAAAATCGAAAATTTTAACGTGAAATCACCTTTAACGCCCCTACCTCACACTTTCCCCTAACGTCATTCCAGTTGCCAGAAGGAAATGAGGTATGGAACTTTCAATGGTGTGAAACTTTGAGATTCTAAGACTCACGTATAACATCCCGGAAGAATGATGTCCGTAGTCTAACTTACTTAAGAAAAACAGATACATTTAGTTTTACCGGATATCGGTAACTAGAGTTATCTATTTAAAATTTTCAGGGTATAGTCAAGGGATACTGAAAACATTAATGATTTAGATCGTTAGTTTATGTTCGGTTCACTTTGATACGTTATACTATTGAATGGAGGAGAAGACAACAAATCTCTCTCTTAACTCTGGTGTTGTGGAGTTTATTTCTTTGAAGTTTTCGTAACCCAATTTTTTAACTTCTTCGGCGTCTCACTCGCTTTCTTCAAAGATTTGCATGAAAACTTGCATAAGTAATGGGTCTGCTGTCTTAACCTAACCTAACCTACCTAACATAACCCACCCCACCCCACCTTATCATATTTAACAAGAATACAAAAAAAAAAGTTTGAATGATCGATTTGATTGTTTCACAGGTCAGATGTGTCTTGTTGCCGGATTTATTCATGTTTACTCACAAGCCTAAGCTAACCTAACCTAACCTAACCTAATCTAATAAATTGCATTCCTTTATATAGTTAAAGGTTAGACCGATCACCCCAACATAATTTATTATACGACTAACCACCCTAACAGTAACCCAACCCAATCTAACCTAACCTAACCCTCCTATTAAGGTAATGATTTTCAATCATCTTGTGAAACGAACTGAGGGTGATCATAATCGACATGTGATCTATTTGTCATACCTATGTGAGATAATTTGAAAATATACATCAAAATAGATACGTTGTAATTTCTAAATGAACTTTCTACGTCTCTTGTGACATGCTGGTCTTATATTTATAGTGGCCTATTTTATACATTGGTCTCTTATACACATTGTTCTTTTTTACA